GCAAACACTGGTATGTGGAAGCAGTACACTGAGTATTGTAGAGGACACAGGAGCAGGAGGCGTGAAGCTCTTCGCTTCAGAACATGCCAAGCTGCGGGAGTCTCAGCACTGGGGGTGGAGACAGGAGGGAGGCCAGTCTGAGGCCAGTGTGGTCTACCGAATGAGGCCTTCTCTTGGAAACTAAATAAAAATAGGCAGTAAAGACTGTTCTGGTGAAAGAGGAAAGGGAGGGAAACTAGCATTTAGTAGGCATTTATTATACATGCCGGATCTAAGCAATGTGGTGTCCTTGCATTGATATGTACTTCTCAGTAGATGTTAAGGTGACTGGTGAGATCCCCTTGTTACAAATGCTGCTCTTGGGGTTCCAAAATTAAGGTCACACAGCCAGAGGAGGTCAGCAGAAGGCTCAGCTTAACCAAGATTTAACTCCCAAACCTTTATTTTTAAAATGGCCTTTGGGGGTTCTTTTCTTAGTGCCATACTGGATTGGGTGGTCTACAACTACCTGTGACTCCAGCTCCAGGAGATCCAAAACCCTCTTCTGGCCTCTGTATGCACCTGTGTGTGTATACCCCCCCATACATACCCATAAATAAAAATAGATCGTTTTTAAAAAATGGCCTTTGAGGCTGGACGTATAGGTCAATGGTAGAGTGTTTGCCTGGGATGCACAAGACTTGGGCTCAGCCCCACACCATGTCGAGTAATTTTAAGTGATTTTTAATATTCCAGAAAAGCTTCAAAGTAATACAAAAGGTTGCTATTCATTCTTCACTAAGTTCCTCTGATGTTCAGAGCTTGTGCAGCCACGGCCCAGTTGTCCCAGTGAGGACAGACGCTTTGGCTGTGACCGACTGTACACCTGAAGCAGACGTCCCCAGACATCCGCTTCCTGCTCCAGGATCCACTCTGGGGTTTTGATTTGCTCGCTGGCTCTTCTGACCATTGTCTCTTCAGTCTGTGATGGTAACTCAGTCTGCCATGGTCTTATACAAAGTTTTTAATGAACAGAGAAAATGTCTGAACTATATGTGAAGATTTTTTTGAAAGCAACGTCATTTCATCTCTTTTAAACTGTGTAAGAAGCTGGCGAGGGCCTGTAATCCAAGCGTTCGGGAAGCTGAGGCAGGAGGATCTCAAGCTCGAGGTCTGCTGGGCTACGTGGACTTTCAGGGCAGGCTGGGCCTGTCTCAGACAGCAGCGAGAAGGCCAAATGGAAAACAGCTCCTGGGGATACACTGCTCACAGTGTAGCAAGCAAGCTTTTGTTTTTTACGCCTGTAGAGTTCGTGTATAAATTTTGAGATGGCGCACGCTGTCCTTGAGCACTGTGTGACTTTCCCTCATCACTGCAAGATCTGTGCCATTGTTTCAGTGGCTGTCAGCATTTCTTAGTATGCGATTTTTGTCAGCTGTTGTCTTGTTGGTGGGCCATCTGGTTATGGCCAGTGCTTTGTCCTTATTATACAATATGCTGTATGAACACCCTCCAGGTATGCATTTGTCTATCCGTGCGGTTATTTCTATGAGGTAAACTACTGGGCCAAGGACCATATGCATCTTCTGTCTGCAGTCCAAACTGCCCTCCCCAAGGCTGTCTCTCAACTTTCACTCCTCCCACAGTGGACTGCAGGCTTGGGGCTTGGGTCCCAGTTAGGCTGTGAATGGAGTATTCTGTCTGTTAACAATGGCTGGGTTCAGGTGATGGTCTTGTGGGTGTTTGATCCATCATACATTCTATTTTCCCTACAAATCACTGTTTTGCTTTGTTATGTTTTTATGGCATACATGTAGACATTATTAACATTGAAAAGGACAGTTTAAATACTCTATCCTTGTAATCTTTTTTCTTTCTTTTTTTTTTTTTGGTCTTTTTGAGACAGGGTCTCCTTGTAGTCCCCGCTGGCTCAATCTCACAGAGGTCCACCTGCCTCTGCTGAGATTAAAGGCATGCGCCACCGTGCCCAGCTATCTTTGTAATCTTTAATTCAGCATGACTGTGAAGAGATCCAGCCAAAAGTCTGAGGGTTTGATAGAACACTTAGAAGACTGTGAGGTGCGTCTTAGATTCAGGGTAGGTGCTGTGCAGGAGGACGAAGTCTTCAGGGACAGGAGAGACTCACATTAGCATGAGGGATTTTGAGTGAAGCCAGCTCACGTGAGAAGCCAGCGTCTTGAGCAAATTGTGGAATTTAGTGTCAACTCAGATAGCAAAGTGGAGAGACAGCTAACCTTTAGTTAGTTCTTCTGGAATAACTAAAGAATCACTGAATAACAGCAGTTATTAATTCTGTTATATAATTAATGTTAATAATAATTATTATTTGAGACAGGGTCTCCCTGTAGCTTCAGCTGACCTGGAACTTGCTATGTAGACCAGGCTGGCCTTGATCTCACAGACATCTGTTTGCCTTTGCCTCATAAGTGCTGGGATTAAAGACACACATCACCACATCTGGCTGAATTAATAATATTAATATTATTTTGTCTTTTTGAGGCAGGGTCTCCCTGTACCCCCAGCTAGCCTAGAAGTCAATATGTGGACCATGCTGGCCATAATCTCACAGAGATCCACCTGCCTCTGCCTCCCGAGTACTGCAATTAAAGGCATGTGTTACCTTGCCTGACTAAATTATTATTAAAATTCATTAACTTAATAGTACTGTGTGTGATGGGGGTGGTGCACACAGGCCATAGTATGCTTGTAGAAGTCAGACAACCACTTGCTGGAGTCAGTTTTCTCCTGCCATGTGGGTCCTGGAGACTGAACCCAGGTAGTCAGGCTTGACTATAATCACCTTTACCCACTGAGCCATCTCGCCAGCCCTAGACTGACTAAATTACTTTTAATACCAAATATGCGATCTGTTGGAAGTAGTTCTGTAATAATGCCAGTCACATCGGAGAAGCCCCAACCAGGTGGGGAGTTTGAAAGAGCAGAGAAGCGACCCTTTGTTTCCTGTCGTCTCCTAAAGTGTGTTGACTTTAGAGCAAAAAGTGGGGTTTGGCGTGTTTGGGTGTAATTGTAGTTAGCTTATGTTCTCACTTCATCAGCACGTTCCAGGATTTCTGGTCTCCTTTTTCTTCTTTTGAATAAAAGCTATGTTTCTTTCAGGTGAGGGAGGGAAAGTGTGCTGCGCCCTCAGCTGTTGGCCACTTGCTCTCCCTGCATTGCTTCCGGTGGTGCAGTTCTGTGTTCATTCCCAGACAGCACAGCAGGGCAGATCCAAGCTGCCTGATGTGCTGTCTCCTCTCTCTCTTACCTGGGTGAGCTTTAAGTTGACGGTTTAAGATGCTGTCCTTTGCAGGAAGTTTCTTTGTTGGTTTGTCCCCCCTCACCTTTAATCCTACCTTCGTCTAAAGAGGAGGGAGAATCAGACATAAAAACATAGCAAGAACAAGATATCTTTTTATTTTTATGTAATAATTTAAAGGGATTTGAAGAACAGCTGATGTTTGAAATTTGAATGTGGTTCAAAGCTATTCTGGCTAAAACGTGATTTTGACTTGTCTTGTGAGTAAATGAAATTAATTTGTGTGCATTTGTATATCTGATTTTTTTTATATACACGTTCTATGAAATGGGTAAATGCAGCTCATGAACATTTTTTTGAACCGGTTACAGATTTCCATTTTTCTGATTAACTAGTTTCGTTGAGCACAAAGAAGTACTATTTATATTAATATTTAGAAGACCCCAGTATGAGTAATTTCAGAACCAGTCTTCCCAAAGCCCAAGTTGGAAAGCTGTTAGAAGGCAGACATTCTAAAATGGGCTTATGACTGGCAAATGCGACTCTTAAGCTCTTCAAACCACTGTCTTCTGAGGCCAGAGAGACCCTGCTGCACCCTTGACTTGTGTCATGTCCCTTGGTTGTCATGGAAACTATGGATGAAGCAGAATTGTCACACTGTATGAAAGAAAAGTGGGAACAGAAATGAAAAAGGTCATTTCCCAAGGTCACCAGGTGAGGCGTGGTACCAGGCCTGAACGTCAAAGCCTTGCTTTTAACCACTGCTACAAGTCTCTTACTGTTTAACTGTCAGTGGAGGAACCGACCGAGTTAGTTTGTGCTTGTTTAGAAGAGAAATGCAGTTATGTTTAAAAAAAAAAAGGAACAAAATAAAAATAAAACCAAGAGGCCCTGTGTGTGTGTTCCTGTGTGCACACGTTTGTGGTGCACATGCACGTGTGTGTATGCACATTTGGGGGCCAGAGGTTGATGGCTGCTTCCTTCCTCAGTGGCTTTCCACCTCCCCAGCACTAGGATCACAGCCGCATGTCCCACACCTAAGTCTTTACAGACTGAGCTGTGTCCGACTGGGCCCTTTCCTCCTTCCTTCCTGTTTATCCTTCAAGTCATAAGTACTCAAGGGCCTGAGCCTTCCTCCCACTCATTAGATTGTAACCTGTGGGAAGTGGAACCCTGATCCTTCAGTGCTGGAAATTAAACCTGGGGACTTCATCTCAAGCTACCTCCCCAGCCAGGACCTGCTTTGTTAAGTGTGCCGTCCGCGCACAGGGTATAGATGACCTTGCATAGGATAGATGCTAACTAAGTGCTTTTGTCTTAGGGATGTTAAACAGTATGTCAATCTGCTTGATTTTTTTCATGGGCTGGAGCCATCTCATGAAGGAATTTAGTGCCTCTGTATCCTACCCCTCCCTGGAAGAGTGCATTGTGAATGAAATTACCTAAAACAATTTAAATTTTTACTTATTATGTTTATTTTATGTGTATGATTGTTTTGCATTTATGTAAGTGTACTCGTGTGCAATGCCCACAGAGGTCAGAAGAGGGCGTCATATTCCCTGGAACTGTTGGTTGCCATGTGGGTGCTGGGAACCAATCCCAGGTCCTCTGGAATAGCAGCCAGTGCTCTTAACTGCTGAGCCATCTCTCTAGCCCCTACCTAAAATAATTTTAAAGAGACACAGTTTGTCTTCCTGGATTCTTCTGCCTGTTTCCTTGGAAAGGGAAGAATTAACCCTAACTGTTTCCACTCTCCTTTAGGAATTAAGTGATTTGCAGCGAGATCCACCTGCCCACTGCTCAGCGGGACCCGTGGGAGATGACCGTAAGCTTTGCTCTATTGCCGACTGTGCTGTCTTTAAAAGTATAGCTTTGATCACCTGTGAGTGACTCCAGACTTCCTCTGTTTCAGTGTTCCACTGGCAAGCAACTATCATGGGGCCTGTAAGTATAGCTCATATATGTGGAATTAATCCCCTTCACCACACTGCATGTATGCCTTTTGACTTGTGATCATATGTTTATGACTAAGGTTGAACATGCTTGTCCTCTGAATCACAAAGGGAGCAAAACAGGATTACAGACTGTGGTAATTTTCTAAAATATCACTGGCAAATGCCTGCAGGGAGCGTGCTGCCATTTTCCTGTGCCAGATCCCTCCTCCCTGCACAGCAGTGGTCGCCCACGCGGTGCAGGCTGTGCTGGCTGGCTCCCTCCTTCCTTTTTCTCCTTCCTTCTTTCTTTCTTTCTCTTTCTTTCCTTCCTCCCTCCCTGATGAAGAGAAAGGCATTTAATGACAATGGTCCATTTTATTCAGGCATTTTGGAAATACTACTTTTGAGTAATTAACAAAGCAATGAAGATTTTTTCCCTATCATTATCATTATTGTTATCATCATAAAGAATAAAAATTTAATTGTATCTTTGAGGGCAGTCCCTTCCTCCCTCCTTCCTTCCTTCCTTTTCTTATTTATCATTATCTATTTACATACAGTTGCTCTGAAATAAAGCACAGTCATCCTCACACATCCACAGTTTTCATAGGTTCGAAATAACAACCCCAGGGTGGAATTGCTACCGCTAAAAGTGCGGGTTTGTAATAAGTCTCAGTGGAGTCCTGGGATGGCTCCGTCTTTGAGGCCTTTTGAGTTTTCCTCCTTGTCTTCTGCTCCAAGTGACAACTTTTACTACTGGCTCCTCACCATTGTCTTTATCTCCTACACCTGAGAGGTGGTGATGACTTGAAGCAGACTTATTCTTTCTATGAACACTGTTCTGATTGTGAAAGAGCAAGTGCTGTGTTCCAGTGGACTTTCCGGGTGAGAGAGAGTGCACTGGTAGTTTGTTTTCCTGGGCATCATTCATCCCCTAAAAGAGTTTTATTAAGTTATGGAGTTTTAAATTATATTGCCTCAAAAACAAAACTAAAAAAAAATTATTGAATTTCAAAGAACTGTTCCTAAGAAATTATCCTCAATGACTGTTCTACTAATGAGCTATAGTTACCTAACAACTTTAAATAAGGGTCTAGCCATTTCTGCTAGGTTTTCATTACCTGCTACTGACCTTCAGAGCCATAATGTAAAGGCACCATTAGAGCAATGGCCTTTGCAAGTTTTCTCAGGGAGTCACTGTGAGTGGTGAGCGATTGTTACCCACGCCTCCCTTGCTTTAGTGGTAATAAATACAGTCCACAAATTTCTGTAACATCACTTGACTGTCCACACAGACTGTGTTTATCATTATAATTGCTTGCAGTTTTTACATTCTAATAAGCTAAAATTATACAATATATAGTAAGAATCATACATAATTATACATATAATATATAATAATAATTCTATAGTATAATCCTTTAATCTTTGTCTCAGACTTGAAGGAAGGAAAGATGACAGATTTGCTTTAATTACCCGTGGTATATTTAATCAAATATGGAGGAATTAAGATTAGAATTTGGGTATATTTTGCTATCATTTTTGTTTTCTCTCTTTTGACATTTCTTTTCTATTCATACAATGTTATAATTTTGGTTTTTTTTGGCCAGTTGGCCAAATTCAAATTCGTCTCATAAAGTTGATTCTTCATTCCATACACTATGAATATTGAATTCACCTAACTTCCTTTTGGAATTGTATTTTCTGCATTGTAAACTGCTACTAAATGAGTATTTCAGGGATAAACTGTGTAAGAGTGTCATGTAGACATTTATTTAGTAACTTATTCTCTTTGGGGCTTGTTCGTCAACATCAGAACTTGAGTTTTGGAAATGAAAAGATAACCATCAGTCCTAACCCTTTAAAATGGATTCCTGCTCTAGAAGATCACCTTCCCTCACAGCACTTCAGGTACAGACTGGTACCCTGGACACATCTGCTTGGTTAAGTCACACTTCTGTGCCTATCTCTTTTGTTTTAAACCTTGTGGGCCTGTTGGAAGACTCTCCTTCATCCCTGGGAAGGAACCAGCTCTTGAGGTAAAATAATTGAACTTACAACATGGTGACTACATTTTTTACAAACTGGTACTTGATGAAAGCGTTTAGAACACCATGGAATTTCTTTCACCTTGTTAACATCTGGGGAAGTCATTCAAAGTTAAGCAAACGCAGGGACCAGACACTGATGACCTGTTTTGTCATTTCAGCCGGACAGCGCTTATCAAGGTGGAGTCTTCTTCCTCACTGTCCACTTCCCCACAGACTATCCCTTTAAACCACCAAAGGTATTTATTTCTGTGATTGACATGTCCCACAGCAGGGCCTTTACAGTCTGTCCAGAGATGGTTTCGATGTCATGGACTGTGGGTGTAACAGCAGGAGACGATCTTTGGCCAAACCACCCAATCTAAAACACTTTCTTATTCAAGTATTGTATGGTGCCTGTTAAACAAAAGGCCGTATATCGCTCCGCTCCGTGGCCTCCGTGAGTTTCTTTTCCTCAGTACATATGTGCAGTTTGGAATGTTTTATAGTCAGGATTGGACTTTTCTATTTGTGGACTTACGTTTCCAAAGCAGACCCAAACCAGTTTTCTTTTGTAAATATTCAGTAGACGTTTATTGAGCACCTACCATGTTCCGCTACAGTGGGGACCAGGAAAGCAAATACAGCCCCTTCACTGAATGGCAGAGGTGGATGAAAATCTGCCCTTGTAGATTTGATTCCGATGAGGCCTAAGGAAGGAACGGATGATGGGTTGTGAAGGAGGGAAATGAACAGATAAGTCAGTCAGGAAATAATTATGCCTGATTTTTTAAAAACACGGGGTTAAAATCCTGTCTATGACACCACATGGCAGCAGCTCTTGTGGGAGATTTGGATTCAAGATAGGTTCCTGAGGACACAAGAGGCTGAGGCAGAGTCAGCATCCCTCCTCATAGATCCGGTGGCTTCAGGGCATTTCTGACAGATTAGGAGTGCTTTGAGGTGTGGTGTAAGCAGGTGATTGCTCCCGGTGCTTTTCAACGTTCACAGCAGCAGACTCAGCTCACCCCAAACACTTCCCAACACCCCGTGGACAAAAGAGGTAAACTGAGTTTCTTTCAAATCTTCAGTGGCTCAGCTGTATCTGTGCATCTCTCCTCTAGAGCTCTGCAGCGTTGAGGGTGTTCAAACCTAGAGCAAGCAAGCTGGTTGTGCTTTGTTTGTAGCTTTTCGATGGACGCTCAACTCTTTCTGTTTTGTTTTATGTTTAGATCGCTTTCACAACAAAAATTTACCACCCCAATATAAACAGTAACGGAAGTATTTGTCTTGACATCCTGCGGTCCCAGTGGTCGCCAGCTTTGACTGTATCAAAAGGTAATTCTGTGTATCAGATTTAAAGCAAGTGCAGCAGACACTGTGTGATGTGTAGGGACCGGAGCTTAAACAAAACCAAAAGAACAGTCTCCTGTGCTTTCTCTTATTTTGGTTTTGCTTTGCTCCTCTATTACCCAGGTTCTTAGTGAACTTTGGAGTGTGGAGGGTATGGATGGGCAAATCTAAATGAAATCAGAGATGTAAAACACTAGAGCTGGAGACCGGAGAGCTGGCCTGCCAGGAAGACTGCAGCTCTTGTACAGCACCCAGTTTGCTTCCTACTGGGAAGACTACAGTCACCTGTAACCCAGCTAAGTGGGATCTGAAGCCCTGGTCTGGCTTCCACAGACACCTACACTCACATACACATACCCACATATGGACACATGCATGTACATAAGTAAAAATAAAAACAAATCTTAAGAAAATTCTAGAGCTAGAAATTGGGGATAAGCCTATTGTTATGTGTCCTTCTGACTTGGGTTTTGTCTTTACCAGACAGAATAAGAAATCTCCCGTAAAAAAAAGATATGTATGTGGCTTTCGCAAAGAGAGAAAGAAAAAAGATTTGGGGACTTATCCCATTCATTAAATTAACTATTGACAATAATAGATAAAACTTGACGGTAGTTTGACTCTGTCTAATAAACAGATTTGGCAGATAAAATAAGCATTTTAAACAGAAAGATGTAGTTCGTACTTTAGAAAAGGGTTGTGCGGACTGCGTCGTCTAGCCTGCGTAATTGACAGCAGCGCTGTTCACCTGATCCTGCTGCTGCTCAGACCTCAGAGGCAGCGTAGCCCTGCCCTGCGCTGTACTGTCAACTGCAGACGGAAGTCCTTGGAAACCAATTTCGTTCCACCGGCCAGTACTGTGCGCCATGCCAGCTACACCTGTGTCTTGTGTCGCTAACCGTAGAACTGGCAGCTGGAAGGTACTGTTAGGGTTACAAGCACCTGGCTCTGAAGGAACGATCACCTTTTTCCTTTTTATAAAAGTACAGGCAGTTATTTTTCTTGGAGATTTCATGAGACTGACCTTGAACTCCTGATTATCCTGCTTCCCACTCCCTAGGAGCTGAGGTTACAGGTGTGAGCCTCAGTGCTTGCTTTTATTTGATGCTGGGGAGTGAAGCCAGGCTTTATGCATGCTAGGCAAGCACGGACCAACTGAGCCACGACTCAGCCCTGTAGCTTGGTTTTAAAAGGTATGCAATTACAGGAAGCAAGATCAATAGCATAACTGTTAGGTAAGCCAAGGGCCTTCAAGTCAGCTATTTATAACAGGTCATTTTTTTTACCTAAAATGTCCACCCTTTATAAAGTCTTTCATGTAGTGAGTACAGGAAGGGCTCATGCCTTTGCGTGGAACAGCATCACAAAAGGACTCTCAGTCAGTATAAGCAGCAAAGTCCTTATCCCTTAGAGGAAGTGGCGGACGGGCAGAAGTGAGTGTTAGGACTGTTTTAACCTCTGGAAACTGTCCTCTGAGAATTGAGACCGCCTATCTCCTTAAGTGCAGACCAGGAATACAACAGTGGTGCCACACTTGGTTACCATGCACCTGTGGGGCACTCAGATAACTGTCCCTGGTCCCCTTCATCCAGATGGTGAAATCAGGGCAGATGGCTCCTGGCAGGAGAGGACATGGGAACTTCACCCTTGTCTGTCAGGAGGGCACTCACCTCACTCCTCTGTTCGTACACTTTGCTCTTCTGTATTTTAAGTATTTTAGAAGATTTATTTATTTTTATTTTATATGTATGAATGTTCTGCCTGCATGCATATAAGTGCACCTGTGTTGTCCAGTGTCCGCAGCGGCCAGAAGTGGGCGTTGGATCCCCTGGAACTGGAGTTACAGATGGTTGTCATGCGGTATGTGGGTGCTGGGAATCGAACCTGGGTCCTCTGTGAGAGCAGCCAGTGCTCTTAACTGCTGACCCATCTCTCCAGACCCCTCAACCCCCTTTTCTATATTTTAAATGTCTTGCTTTGCTTTTTATCCTAACTTTAGTCTGGAAGCATTCTGTTATTAAAAAAAAAAAAAAAAAAAAAAAAAAAGAAAGAAAGAAAAAATCTCCCCTGTTGGTTTACTATTTAAGGCCTGAAGTTTCACTGGGCAGGTAGAAGATGAGACGATAAATACCAACTTTTCCCTAGTCCTTGCTTCCCCTGTCCCTGTCATTTAAGAGTCAGCTGTGCCCAGCTGTGTTCCAGTCACGTTTAGACCAGAAAGAGCAGGCTGGGCTTGAGACAGCAGAGAAGGGCAGGGAGTGGGAGCTGCTTCCCAAGGGTCCACGAGGACCATTTTTGTTTCTTCTGTCTCAGATACTTAGGCAGGATTTTGTTTTGAAGACAAGGTCTCACTGTGTAGCCCAGGCTGGTCGCTCTGACTGGTCTCCAGCTGGCAATCCTTCCACCTCAGCCTCCCTATTGCTGGGATTATAAGCATGTGCCCTACTTTTCTAAGTGTAGCTGTTTGCATTAGTAGTTCTAGCATAGTAACAAACACTTTCCACTCTTCATTTACATTGTGATGTAGAGAAGTTAGCCAAATCATCGTTCATGTTATTTTTAAGTGATTGTAATCAAGTGAGGTGCATGGAATGTAAGAGTTAGTGAAAAACCTTCCATCTTATGGGAACACACACCACACACGCAGACGTAAACCACACATACATAAACAGAGATATACATCACACACACCACGCTCATAGACATACACATACACATCACACACATATAACACACACACATACAATACACGCAACATACAACACACATACACACCACAAACAAAACAAAAGGAAAACTATTTGTGGGGAAAAAGGGGGCCATCAGAGGTGGGGGACAAGAAGGAAAATGGGGGTGAACAAGACAGAGTACAGACAATGGTTTGTATGTATGAAAATGTCATAATGAAGTCCATTGTTTTGAATGCTCACTAAAAAATGTAATAGAAAAGAAAGAAACCGTAGAAATCCTCCTTTTGTGCAGACAGTCCATAGCATAAGCCAAGGGGCACACGAGTCCCGTGGCCCAAACCGCTCTGTTATCTGTAGTTCAATTGCTTCGCATGATATTTTTGATTTTAAGAGATCATTAGTAGCTGCTTTGGCAGCCACATGTTACTTTAAATAAACAGAAATTCTGATAGAAATTAAAACTTCCAAAAGAATAGTAAGCTCATGTTTTCTACATTGGTATTTGGTAATAATTTCATAATTAAAAAAATAATGATGCTTACCTACCAGCCAGAGTTAGTAGAAAATCAGTCCAGCATGTGGGTTTCTTTTTCTGTTTGAGTTGTTTTGCAGCACTGGGCTTTAAGCCTTGGGCCTGGGCATGCACGGGAAGCCTTCCGCCGCTGAGCTGCACCCTTTTACCCTAAGTTTTCTTTATATTCGGCACAGCTTTTTTCAGTGTAACTTCTACAAGGCAGAAAGAAAGGTCATCGTCTAATGGAATGTTCTCTTTTAACTCTAGTTTTATTGTCCATATGTTCTCTGCTCTGTGACCCTAACCCAGACGACCCCCTAGTACCAGATATTGCGCAGATCTATAAATCAGACAAGGAAAAGTAAGTGGTTTTCTATGCATTTCTGTTTGGGTGTCTTTCAGCATGGTCTGCACCATGAACATGCTATTTGAATATACATTTATTTGTGTTTATATGAATATCATCTTTTCCCAGTGAATAGAATTTTTTCTTAAACCTTATTAGTCTTTTTACCAAAAATTACTCTTTCTTAGAAGATGCTTAGTCGTACATGCTTGTGACAACCACACAGTTCTAGGCAGTAAATTAAAATGTAAGACCCTAATCACTGGCAAGCACTGAGCATTATATTCCCGGTGTTCTCCTGGGAAGAGGTCATTTCTCTGCCGCCCACGCTGCCCTTGAAGCTGCTTCATCCTGTGAGCACGCAGACATTTGCATCTTGGAGAGAGTCCTCCCTTCAAGTTGGCTTTTACAGATTTCTATTAGAAATTGGTTTCTGTGTTTTGTTTCATTTAGGCATATTTTTATATAGATTGCAGAGAAATATATGATTTTAAAATATAATTTGTTTTTGGTTTTGTATATGCATGAGTTTATGTTGCCTCAACCCCATGACTGGTGCTGTTCAGCCTGAGGAGAGCTATACGGAGAGGGGCTTCTGCAGATTAAATATGTCTGGTTTTAATATCTCTTTTGTGTGCCCGCAGATACAACAGACACGCAAGAGAATGGACTCAGAAATATGCAATGTAAAACCTTAAAGAACTCTCACTGCACCAGAGTACTGTAAAATCTAGGTCTTTTTCAACATTAGCCGTAAATCCAGCGCTGTTTGCTGTCTCGCTGTACCATGAACCCTTTGGTTTTTACCCATTTTAAATGTGTTTCTGAAGCAAGACAAAAACTTCCAAAAATACCCTTGCGACTGTGAGGAGAGCATTTCTCGTTCATGTGCATCGAGAAAGACATTGATTATGCTTCCTGAGATGCTTGGGCCTGCACCTCCAGCCTACAAGATCTACGGCACAGCTCAAAAGCAACCAAATTATTTTTTGCTGAAACTAGATGTTTTTACATGAGAAAATACTGTAAGTGTTGTCTAAGAGGTCGTCACTTTTATAAATCTGTATTCAGGTTTCATTCTTTGTTAGTTCACTTTATAATTTGTATTTTTTTACTGTATAGACTAAATATATTCTATGTATGTCAGCTCGTTACCCTCCGAGAGTGCCGAAGCCCCAACTGCTGATAAGGAAATGACTTAACTGTGTGTCCCCTTATCCTAGGATGTTCTGTGGCTCGATTGCGTATTTCCTAAACCCCAAATGATCTTCACACTGTAACTCTCAGTATACCGATTAGGATGGAGAAACACTTGTTTTGATTCTGTTATACTTGACTTAACTTTATTGCAATGTGAAGTAATTGCACTGCTAAGTAGGAAGGTGTATGACTTTCTTTGTTGCTCCACACTTGAATTGCTTTCTGTGCAGGCAGTATTCTACCGACACCTTTTACAGATCTCACTGTACCTTTTTCCATTTAAATAAAATGCTTTTTCTACTGCTTGTCTTGATTACTTAATGCAAACAGAAAGCAATTTATCCATACTTAAGGATCGAAACCATATAATTTTGTATCAAAACCATTTTCAAACTATGAAAATGGAGTCTAGTTTTCTTGGCATTTAAAAAATCTTTTACATTTATTTATTGCGGGGGAGTGTTCCATGGTGTGTGTACATGGCTGAGAGGACAACTTGCAGGAGTCTGCTGACCTCCAAAAGGTTCTGGGAATTGAACCCAGTCACCAGCCTTGGTGATGAAGGCCTTTACCCGCTGAGTCATCTCACCAGCTCTATCTTGGCATTTATTTATCTATCATCTCTCTGTCTATCATCCATCCATCTATACTTTATGTGTATGTTTTACCTGTATGTATTTAAGTGTACCACATGCATGCAGTGCCCATAGAGACCAGAAGAGGGCAGGTGTCAGATCCCCTGGAACTGCAGTTATGGGTGGTTGTTAGTTACCATGTAGGTGCTGGGAACTGAACCTGGGTCCTCTGCAAGAGCAGCCAGTGCTCTTAACCATTAAGCCATCTCTCTAGCCACTGTCTTGGCATTCTAATAACCATTAATTATACAGATACCTCATTACCACAGGTTAGCATCTGCTAACTTGTCTGCTGTGAGGTGCTTTGTCTTGGCCCCTTGTTGTAGATGAGAATTTTGAAGTTTGGGTTTAGCCATACCCAAAGTGGATTATTTGTAAAATTCCCCCCAAAAAAGTGAGAAAAAGAAATCAAAGTCTGTGGAACTGAAGAATCACCAGGTCTGCTCCAGAAAATGCTCCCCACACGTTACTCCAGTGTTCAACACTTTAGGTCTAGAATTTCCAAAATAGAATTTGAATGCCATCATAATTTGCAAAACGTGTTTTACTACAGACGTTACCAAACATTAAGAAATGACACGTCCCTGTTTTATAAATTGCCACCTAAAAATGATTTAAATAAGCAGGTTGTCTTTCTAGATTTTAAAGAAAGTTCTAATGTTTGAACTTGGGAACATGCATCTCATTAAAGATTCGCATGCATACCAAACATCAGTGTGTTGTCCAGAACACTGCCAGCTGTCTTGATTACTACAATGATTAAGAATCAGATGGGTGCATTGTAGAAAACATTTCATTCCCTTGACTGTGTTATCACAGTTCATTATCATTGAAGCACAGACTAGCCTGTTAGGAAATGTATCTTTACAGATGAATGTAAAATAGTTAAATGAATTGTGACATGGATGTTCAAGAACACGCAAGCTTTGAGGAGTCACCGTATTACTAGCCTGTTAGGAAATGTATCTTTACAGATGAATGTAAAATAGTTAAATGAATTGTGACATGGATGTTCAAGAACATGCAAGCTTTGAGGAGTCACCGTATTGACTGGTGCCTCGAAGTAGTCATGTTATAAGCAAAGCATATATTACCCGTATTACATAAGCTTCGTGCACTCACGTTGAGCACGCAGCACCTTTAGATTCTGAGTAGTGTGCTGTGAGAGCAAGGGCTATTGTTTCCTGCGTATCGTATTAGGGACTTTTCTCTTGCTATGATAAAACACCATGTCCGAGGCAACTTACAGAAGGAAGAGTTTGTTTGACTTACAGCTCCAGAGGGTAAGAGCCCATCATGGCGGGGAGGTGTGGGGCAGAGGTGGCCAGAGCAGAGAGCTGAGCAGGCATGGGAAGCAGAGGGAAACTGGAAACCCAATCTGCAAGGCTGTAGGAGTCTCAGAGCCAGTCCCCAGTGCCATGCTTCCTCCAGGTGTGCCATGGCCACACTTCCTAAAGGTTCCCCGACTTTCCCCAAACAGTGCCACAATCTGGGGACCAAGTGTTCAAATACTTGGAGCATATAGGAGACCTTTTCATTCAAACCACCACAAATAGCTTTCACTTAAATTTAAAAAAAAACAAAAACAAAAAAACCAACAAAGCTTTCACTGGTGTGGCTTTTTTGGAAGTGTTCTTGTTTTCTCTTTTTTTTCTGCCTGGGGGACAGTTTCACTATGTAGCCCCAGCTGTCCTGGAGCTCACTATGTAGACCAGGCTGGCCTTAAACACAGAGATCTGCCTGTCTCTATCTCCCAAGGGCTGGGATGAAGGCATGCCTTTTCTATTTTTTCAAAGATTTAAAATTTTTTTCTTGGGCTGGAGAGATGGCTCAGGGGTTAAGAACACTGGTTGTTCTTGCAGAAGACCTAGGTTCAAATCCCAGGACCCACATGAAAGCTAACAACTGTCCATAACTCCAGTTCCAGAGGATCCAATGGCATCTTCTGTCCTCCACAAGCATTGCACAACACGGGTGCACTTAACCTACATGCACATAAAATATTTAATTTTTTTTCTTAAATTCTTGTGTTTGTATATGTCCGTGTGTACACGGTTCCTGAGGAGGACAGAAGTGAGGGTCGGATCTCCAAGAGCTGGAGTTACAGGCAGTGATTAGCCACCCTGGGTCCTGGGAACCTAATTCAAGTCCTCTGCTAGACCAGCCAGTGCTCTTGACCCCTGAGCCATCTGTCCAGTCCCTCTTTGTTTTTTTCTTATTAAAGATTTTGAAATTTGCCTAACTCTTGTTTGTCTTTGCTTATATCTGAATTGTAGAACTAGACTCCTGGGGAATGAGCACAAATTCCGTACTAAAAAAAAAAACAAGAAAAAAAACACTTTCTTCAAGGCCAGCCTGGTCTACATAGTGAGTTCCAGGACAGCTGGAGCTACAGGGAGACCCTGTTTCAGAACGACCCCCCCCCCCAAAAAAAGAAAAACATCTCGCTTTCAACAGATCACATGGATCTATCATTACTTAAGATTAGCACTGAACATCAGTAAGATTTTAAAACTGCCTTTTCAAGGACCAGCAGGATGGCCTAGTGGATAATGGTACTTGCTGCCAAGCCAGATGACCTGCATTCCATCCCCAGAACCCACACAGTGGAAGGAGAGAGCCAACATCTGCAAGTTTTCCTCTGACCACTACCATAGTGTATTCCTCTACTCATAATTTTAAATATTACACACACACACACACACACACACACACACACACACACACACACACACACCTGTGGCTTTTCATAAACATTAGGGACCTCAGACTCAGACTGTTGACAGTGGGTTCTTGGGGGTTTAGGATCTCCCATCTTGAAGTTCTGGATGCTTCAAGATAGTTGAGAATCATATAAATTGGATTGTGGATATTTCTAAGTGCTACATAAATCAGCGCTCGAAGCTGTGAGTATCGAAGCTGTGAGTACTGAGTACTACCTGCCCACAGCCCCCCATTTGTCTCAGCAGCCTGTGATCCCCCACACACCAGCTTCACACATGCACACACGTACAGACGTGTGTAAAACCACTTATACTTGGATATTTTGCTTCATGTCCACGTTCCATGACTTCCACTAAGCTAATAGAACCAAACATTTGCGTTGTAACTCAACTACTATCAGCTTCAAAGGACAGAAAGGCGCTAGATCACACACACACCTTGCTTTGTAGCAGAAGATGACCTTGAATGGTTCATGCACTGCTGGAAATGGGCTTTGTGGACGCTGGGCAAGCCTAGCCTAGCCCTACCAGCTGAGCCACCTCCCCACCCTTACATTCGTTGTAGCACAATACTGAATGAAACCCCAGCCCTCCCGGATAGGCACTGCACTACTACACTGTATTCCTAGCCCTAGAAGATGTAGAAATTAGGAAAACTAATTTCCTTCCCAAATTAAAAGAAAGCCTGGATTTAACCAAAGGTTAAATCCCCCTGTGGGACAGTGACTATATTGCCAACAGCTCGGGCTAAGATTCTTATTTCCCCAGTATAATCTGCATCAATTTTCCCAGGCACAACAGATAGGCCTTTTAGGGCGGCGCTACCTCGCCCTAGTATCAGCCCGCAAGTGTTGTTGGGGAGTGGTCCATAAATTCCAGTCCCTATGGTCTGAATTCCTATCTCTGGAGTCAATACTGTGTGGGAGGAGGAACTAAGGTCCAGTCCTGTGCTTCCTGAGGTTGCTCTGCTGAGGTTTGAAATGGATTGCTGCTGCTGGCGGGACTGAAATTGACTGCCCCAAATGCTTGTTTCAGGGCCTGGGGCTGGCCCCTCCACCAGTTTCCCTGATGAGGAGATAAAGGTCTCCCTTCGATATCAGTCTTAGACTTACAATCTCTGAGCCAATGTCTTCCCCTTCTACACCTGGGACATAATCCAGGAGCCCTTTTATCGTCAGTCTTTTGCTGATCATTATCTGCCCCACATTCCCGGGCAAAGTGCCCACTCTTACCACATTTAAAACACCCCTTGCTCTTAGCCTTATACCTATCAGCCAGAAAATCCTTTACAGTTTGTCCATTAAAAGCCGCTGCCATGGCAAGCCCCTGTTGATAAGACGGACCTATGTCTGAACACAGACGAATATAGCCAGTCAAATCCATCTTTTTCCTGTAGGGTCTAATGGCTTCCTGGCAGGCAGGATTAGCATTCTCATATGCCAACTGTTTCACGTACTCTAGCCCTGCATCAACATTTCCAAATATTCTCCCCATTGTGGTCATTAACCGATGGACAAAGTCTGCAAATGGTTCATCAGACCCTTGTTTGACTGAAGCGAGAGAAGTTTTTAGGTCCCCTTTAGCTGGAATATTTCTCCATGCCTTAGTGGCAGCACTTTGAATTTGTGCAAAAAGACCTGCATCATATTGCATCTGTCGTTCATTAGTCCCATACTGACCTTCGCCTGCTAACATATCAAAGTCCCATCCATTTCCAGTTTGCTGATTCCTTCTAGCTGTCTCCTTACAGTTGTCAAAATACTCTGATTTCCATAACAAATAATCACCCCCACTAAGGACTGCCTTTGCCAATGTATTCCAATCGATAGGAGTTAGCCATTTCTCAGCCTCTCCTTCTAAGATAGCCAAGGTATATGGAGCTGTATCTCCACACTGCGACACGGCAGTCTTCAATTCTTTGATTAGTGGAAATTCAAGTACTGTATG